CGACACTGAGGCTAACTCTGGAGGCCCGACTTCCCATCAATCGGTGTGCACAGCCATGGTTCACCATTCTTGGGGTGGCCCCCCATTGACAATGGGATCCGATATGAGGGAACAATCGACCGGTGGAAACTTTCCACAAGAAGCTACCTTGCAGCAGTCTCTCGCATTCATAGATGATGCCGAGCGGAGGTTCCGTCATCTGCAGAATCCGACTTTGCTCCCTGTAAATGGCTGCATTCTCTGTGATTCGGGAGTGGAGGAGATAACAAGCCTCCCTTCAAATCCAACCTCTGTATCAGACCAAGTAGAGAGAACCGGGGCCAAATCTAAGACAGATTGACAATTCAGTACTCAGAAGCTTCAGATTCTCTCTTGGAATGTGAATGGGTGGAAGGCAAAGAGACACGATTGTTCTATTGTTGAGTTATTTCTGAAATACCACATTGTTATGTTACAGGAAACCTGGTCCACTGGGGCTCTAAACGTGGCTGGTTTTCAGGCCTTTTCTTCCTCTGCAATTAAGGGTTCCGGCCCTGGACGTCCCAGGGCCGGTGTGGCGTGCTTGATCTCCAACAACTTGCCACTGACTATGTGTTCTCTTCTGATGTCTTCACCTTATCGGATGGTGATTATTTTGAAATTGACTTCCTCTGATCATACCATACTTCTGGTGAACAATTATATCCCCCCGCTTTTACTAGAGGAAGAGATTGAAAAGCACTGGAGTGAGTTGGAAGGAACGGTTGAGAAGCTTCAGCAGACTTATCCCGCCGCTATGATACTCGTGGGAGGGGACTTGAATGCTAGGATTGGTGCCTCTGATGCCCAATTGTTGTCCTTGGTGGGTGACCTGGACGACTTAGTTTTGCCCCCTCCTTGGTTTTCTCGTGTCTCCAAGGACCTGAAGGTCAATCTAGCTGGCAAATGGCTAGCTATGATGGCGTTAATGCAGAATCTGGTTTTCCTAAATGGTGTAGTTTTTCCGGATATACCAGGTGATTTTACGTGTTATACCCCAAAGGGTTCTAGTGTTATTGATTTTCTTTTAATATCTCAAGAATTTTTCCCCTTGGTGCAAGAGTTTGTCGTTGGAGACTACCTAGGGGGTGATCATCTTCCACTGTCTCTTTCTCTAAACATTCCCACTGGTCACTTAGGGGAGGCAGTTGTGATAAAGTCCAGCGGAGATGCTATACAGTGGATTAGATGTGCTCGGAGGAACCCACCAGTGGATGCTTTGCAGGTGGCTGAGATTCAAGATCGCCTGGACTCTGGTAATTTCCCTGAGTTTCCCTCTCTGATAAATCCCTCCCAGCTGCAATCTATACTTTACCTTGACCTTCTTAACTTTTTTGTGGATAGTTGTTCCTCAGTTAAGCGGGTTTCTGAGGACCAGCGGAGGATGCCAGAAAGTCATCCAAATCACTGGTTTGATGCCGAATGTAGGTTGGCCAAGAAGGCCATTCGAGTAAAATTGCGGCGTTTTAGACTTACTAGGAGACCTGAGGACTTGATTGGATTTTTTTCTCTCAAAAAAGTTTTTAAGGACCTAATTCGAGTGAAAAAGGAAGCCATGGCCACTCAAGACTGGGAATCTCTTGCTACCATCTTGGAGTCCAGGGATGTGAAGGCCTTTTGGAGGCTTGTTAGACCAGGACGTCAGGCTGACATCGTGACAACAATTTCCCCAGCCAGATGGAGGGTGCATTTTGCAGCTTTGTACCAATCCTCAGAATGCCCTGTCGATGAGAAGGAAATTGATGAGGTGTTGATCTCTGCTCCGGACTGGGAGCGGGTCTCTCCAGAGTCAGTACTTGAACGTTTTAATCAGATGAAGCGTGGCAAAGCGGTGGGCCCGGATTTTATACCTCTAGAACTATTTTTGGTGAATCCCGAATGGTGGGCTCATCGCTTGGCCCACCTGTTTTCGGATATCAACAAGTCAGCTAATATCCCCGATATTTGGAAGACAGCTACTGTGGTACCTATCCACAAAGGTGGGGATACCAACGACCCAGGGAATTATAGACCGATTAGCCTTATTGCTACCCCTGGGAAGATCTACTCTGCACTCCTTCAGGAGAGACTCCAGAAATGGCTTGATGAAGAGAGGTTCCTTTTTCCTGAACAGTGTGGCTTTCGACAGGGTGTCGCTACTACAGACCATTGTCTGACGCTTCTCCATCTTGCCAGCAAGTATTCCTTGCGTCCAAGAGGTTGTCTCTATGCGGCCTTCATGGATTTGAGGGCTGCCTTCGACTCCATCTCTCGTCGCAGATTGTGGGAGAAGTTATTGAACACCAATATTGACCGCAGACTACTGGGATTGATTATGGCTCTCTATTCTAAAACATCTGCCTCGGTTCGAGTGAATTCTTCAGGAGTCAGGACAGACTCCTTTCCAGTGCAGAAGGGAGTTAGACAGGGATGTTTGTTGGCCCCCTGCCTGTTTAACATCTATATTAATGATTTGGTGCCGTTTCTTAAAATGAGAGCCAGACATCCTCCGTATTTAGCTGGTCTTCCTATACCACTTTTACTTTATGCTGACGATGCTGTTTTGCTGGCAACATCTGAAGTTGGACTGAGGTCTACTGTCAATGCCTTTTTGGACTATTGCAAACAAGAAGAGCTTATCGTGAATTATGCAAAGTCCAAGGTTCTTCGCTTCTCTGTCAAGAGAAGAAGAGGTCCTCTGTATTTTAAAGTTGGGAATGGCCAACTAGAATGGGTTTCCTCCTTCCGATACCTAGGTATTGTTTTTAGTTACAATCTAT